CATGCTGGTAAAGGCATCAGTGCCAGAGAACCCTAAGGAACGCAACACAATCCACAAATTAAAGTCCCTCTGCACCATTTATATTTTCATAGTTAAATCTTAGTACTCTGACTATGATTGGAATGTAGGTGCAGAAAAGGAGCTTTGCTCTTTAAGAATTTATCAATACATTATGTAAAATTTGTATAAAATGCACACAATCCCTTTACCAAGTTTCACCACCGCAATGCCAAAGTGAAGAAACCCACCACACGTGAGGACCACTTAGGAAACTGAGGATCGCTCTTCCTCAGCTGCATTTCTCCATTCCTGTATTTTAGATCACCAGGCCAAATCCTCTATTCCCCTGCCTTCCCCTACCAATCAGGGGAATGGTACAAGGTTATGACAAATGCATCTCAGACCCAAGTTAAGGGGTATAGCTGGCCTATAAATTACAATTTAAGCACAGATCAAAGAGCTGCCAGCACAACCCTCCAGAGTAACCCGACTACCACCCACGGGGCTAAATTGATTCCATTTGTGCAAATTATTGATGCTTGACATAGAATATAAAAGGCATTTAAATACATTCATATATAGTACCTAATGATGTGTTAATATGAACATACCAACACACATACAAAATTTTCTACCCCTTGATAATTGAAAAAGGAGTTAGTTACTAAGTCAAATTTTAACACAAATCTCACTAAACCCTTTTTTATAAAGTACAGATATGATCAAAAGACATGAACGATTCATCATGAGATGAATTCTGAGTCAGTAACTAAAAACCATCTCCACCAGTGCATTACTACCAACTAATCCACTCTATGATAAGCAAAAACCAAGCTCTGTAAAATCTTGAGTCAAATCTTTGTCAGAAAAGTAGGACATTAATTTCTACAAGCATTCAGTCCAGGCAGCCACATGGCTTGCCTTTCTCAGACCTGTGCTTATTATAAATGCACAGGTAGCCAGCATTTAACATCAGTAAAAGACAACTACATGTTTGTTCACCAGTGGCAAAGAGAGGAGACATTCTATTTCATGGTACTAAGCAATGCACTCTAGGCACACCTGATGCTTATGTTTGCAAATTCTCAAAATAGTTGGGAGGTAACACTGCAAATTCATTATTACTATTGTGCTGCAATCAGTTTACAAAGAGAGAAATTTTGGGTTACTGCCTGTGTTCAAAATAACTGGCTATTCTGAACACTGGCATTGGCCCCAAATAGCCTGAAAGAGTTAAGGGATATGCCATTCTCTGAACATAGATAATGTAAAAAGATCCTAGTTTCCAAGATGTAATTGTTAATAGTTTAGTTCCAGATTTATGGCAGTAGAAATAATATTCACAAGGGAAAACTATTAGGTAAAACATTTCTCCAAGGAAAGGACTGAAATAATCCCAGACTACTTAAAATTTTTGTAGGATTCTTGTTTGTGTGATAACCATAGCTACATATATATTTGTTTTTGCTTCTAGAGCAATTAAAAAGTGCTATGTGGTAGTGTCTAAAATTATGAATATACACAGTAGTTTAATGTACATCAATTCTATTCTCTTATAAGCATACATTCATTTGAAACTATCTGTTTTATTTCTCCAAACTGGTTTTCTACTTAAATGTAATATTTTTATATTACATTAGTCAGTAAATGGAAATCTGGAATGAAGGAGAAATGCTAGGAAAAAAGAACTCAGAAACCTTTTGAAATCAGACAGTTTGAACCTAGAACCAGGGAACCGCATTGCATTGCTTCCCAGTGTGAGATGAATATGCTTCTGAGCATGCGTGGAAGCCTCAGCGGGAATAAGCGAGCTCTAACTTCACAATCCTTGTTTAAGTCAGGCCGCTCACAACCCAACTGTTACAGCCGAATGTTTTCCCAAAGATGCTGTGCAAAATGCCCTATTGCCCAAGGGGCTCAAAATGCAGGTGCTGCTGCAAGAGATAACTGTGCATTCGTCTTTATTTCTCCTCTAGCTTTCAGCATGGCCTTTAGAGACTTCAACAAGAGGTAATATGGATTCAACAAGCAAGTCTCCTAACCATAAATTAATTCACTTGAAAGTCATTCTTTAAAAGAAAATCAGTAGTGTATATGTTGAGGGGAAAAAGTATGTTCACTTTCACACCAGTGCATCCATTTGTATGGTGCTCAGATGCCTAATGCTCCACAGTTTCTTGAGAGGATTGTTATCTATAAAAATGTTAAGGCGGTTATTGATACTAAAAATGTGCCCTTGATCTATGTAGCTGAAATACACACATGTAACAGATAACTGTTTGGAGACTGTAACCATCCTCCAGTGATATTTTAAAGCCAATGGGAACAGAGAAGGGGGGGACTACGAAGGAAGTAAACCTAAGTGGTAGTTTCGCACTAAGAATATTGGTAATTGTATAAATTCAAATTAAAACTCACTCCTATCTTAAGGATATCATGCCAAAAAATGATACAAAGGGAATCACTGATTCATTAAAAAAAAAAAAAAAAATCCAGAGAAATGGTTCAAAGAAATCAAGTTAATACCCCTGGAGGTTGTAAAGAACAATTATCTCACAACATATGGAAAACTGGTGAACTTTCCATGAGACCATGATTTACACCTTTGTGAATTTGTATCAAATATAAAACTAGACCGAGCATTTATTTTTTCATACCAACTAATTTGAAAAACTGCAACAAAAACAAGAAAGGATGATTTCTTTAAAATGGCTGTTAAAATATATTTTTAAGTACAGTAAGAATGCTACCTAGGGGGTTACACTTAGGTATCAAATATAATGGGAAAGATTAAAAATGCTGTTTATGGGAAAATTATCCTAAAAAGCATATGTAGGTAATAATTCTACTATCTATATATAAATAATGTAAACAGAAGCTGTCAAAATGACTCCTTATCTACTCTAATTGATATCTTCTACCATGAGCTTGTTGCCAGTTACACAATGACATGCTTAATTCCTGACTTTGGTTAGTAAAGTCAAATGTAACTCTGCAAACATTATCAGCACCAACATACAGCCTATCATATAGGGTAAAATGAAGCAAGACTATATTTAAGTAAAATTAAATTTCTTGATTCATCTGTATTCAAATCCTAAATCTCTCTATATTTCTTTCCAACCTAAAAAAAAGAGCTACATTAGAATCCCATTTATTGCTTTTCTATCATTCAGAACTGACAAGTAAAATGTCAAAGGTGAAACTTTCTCCTTATATATCACATAATGTATATTATTAGAAAGCCACTTATACTTCAACTAACTCACAGCCTTGTTTAAAAATATATATTACAAATACCCCATGCTTATTTCTAATAGAAAAAGTAATGGAAGTATTTTACCTTAATCAAAGGGGTATTTGACTTTGTAGGGCCAGAAGTATACACAATTTTGCTTATTTTCTTAAAGAAAATGAATACATAATTCCTAATGCAAAATTAGGTACAAGACTGTGGAAGGGGCATGTGTAAGTGAGCTGCATTGAAGCTTACATTTCATTAGCTTCTTGGGATATCCACCTATGTGTAGCAGGCAATGAATTGTTAATATTTCTCTAACTATACTGCATAATAAATTACACCAAAATATTGTACCTCCAGTCACTTACTATTTTCATTTCCTGCTACTCTGACCTTTAGTTTTCTATCTTTTCATAACCTATACCTCAATTATAAGAAATCAACAATAGCTCCAAGATGCTTCCTTTCTTAGTTATCGTGACATTGATCTGCAAAAAGAGATAAAACAAGGAGTTTCCTGAAGACTGATTCCAGGTCATGAAGAATTCTGTTGAGTAATGTAACTGTACTCATGTTAACCATCTGTTGCTATATCAAACAGCAAGTGGGGAAACAATTTTACCAGACACAAAAGACAATCTGGAAAGTTGTTTCAACGTAGTTGGTTTAGTGTTAGATAAACTATCATGCATTTCTAGCATATCCTAATAATCTATCCTAATTTTGTGCCAGTGGGATTGAGGGAGATACAGTACAAGCACATAGCACATGCATACATCTAACATTTATGTGTGGTCTGGAATCAGCCACCTTTTTTAGGACACGATACCATTCTAAATAACAATTATGTATACTGATTCCATGACTACAGAAATCCTGTGTCTTGTCACAATACACCCTAAAAATAAGTTAAAATATAACTTAATCTCCATCTTAAAAAATGACTTACTGACTTCCTGTGTAGCTAAAATGGTATTACAATGGTATTAGAAGTTTAAAAATGAAAAATCATTTTGATAATGATGGAAAGAATAATGAATATGTATTCTACTTAGCCTGTGCAATGATATATTTAAAGAGAAATTAGAACTCAAACTAAACAAGTAAATAAAATGCAGAGACCCATCTGTTGATATACGCACATTAACCTCAGGAATAATAAAGAACCACAGGAACCTCTCCAGGAGACGTTACCTTTTTTCCCATTACACAAAAAATTCAAGAAGAGTATCCTGGTTTAGATTAAATAGGCCTAGACTACAATACCTACAGCAAGAATATCATGGAAAGGGATATGAATAAGTGGATGCAGGAAATAAAGACTACAGATCAAATTTTAGAACCCTATGGTAAGAGAAGAAGGAAGAACTTTTACGAATTCACTTAGAGAACCAAATAGTAGGTTTGGCTGAAAAATGTCAATCTTGGATATTAAATGTATCCAGAGCAAAAACTGAAATTTGTGAATTGGAATTGCCTCAAATTATGAATTATCATTACTACTTTGGTGAGTTGTCTGTGAACTCTACCACTTCTCTTAATTATTTTAATCAATGTAATTCCTTCAAAAATTCTTATTTTCAAATGGACAAAAAAAAAAAAAAAAAAAAAAAAAATTAAAGGATGGATGAACTACTGGATCTTAGATGTGTATAAATAATAGTTTAAAAATTTCATTGTGATATTACTCTCACTAAAAAATTGCACAATATTTTCTGAACCTAGCATAATATACTCATGCATGCACAGTTTCTACTACTTTTACTGACTTTGTTATCAGTTATATCTTTTGCAAATTGACTGATAATTAGGGTGAGGAAATTACTGACAATGCCTAGATATAGATGTAGAAAAGTTTTAGAAACATCAGTTGTGAATCTTATTTAGCAGTGACATTTCTTCCTCAATTTTTATGTAAATATATGTCTTTTCCTAATTGATCTGGACAGTTTTATCCAAAGAGATATTTTGACAGAATATAAAATGTATAAAGGAAATGTACAACCTATCAAAATTCATCACCATGTAAAAATAACTATGAAATAAAAAAAGTGTTCAGAATTACTACTATTGCATGTAGACATGATTATAGGGTTGGGCATACTCTTTTGGGCATTTATTACTTGGTGATTTCTGTCTTCTGTTGATATTGTAATTTGAAGATATATCTATCAAAGGTAAATTATTCATGGAACAGGTGATTGTGCTTAATAGGATTTAATACCAAACTGACTATTGCTTTGCTGTCAGAAAGGTGTTACATCCTTCCCTGATCGAATGGGCTGCCGTGAAAACAAAATGTCACATAAACATGAAGCTTCCTGATAATGAGTGAAAAAAAAAAATCCTAACATATTAAATTCTCAATGATTTTTACTTAAACATAATTCCTGGATTTGTCTCATAAACAGCTCCTAGAAAGCTCCTCTTTAATGTATTTATTAAGGTTAGGCAAATCCCCTTGTCCTTTGCTCAAAATGCTCTGAGTATTAGCCCTTAAAAGGTGAGTGACAGCTAAGTTGGTCTCTAAGAGGAAGCAATGCAATGCCAATGTAAAACAAATTTCTTTCTTTCCTGTGTCCAGAATGATGACGCATCCTTTGTTCTTCTTTCTCTAGAAGAACAGAAAACACTTTCACAGTATGGTCATCTGTAATATGTAAAAATTGTTTTCACATAACCCAAATATACAGAAAACACCTCAGTTTTCAATTTAAAGGTTCTTGGCCATGACAAGATATGTTACAGAGAAAGACCCCTGAAGTAACTGTCCATCCCGTAGTCTCTTCCCCTCACCTCAACAGGTAGGTGTCAGGGACTCAAGAATCATGGGAACTCATGGCACAGTTGCATATCAGCTTTCTAAAACCACATAGAGTTATAACTAAATTTCTTCAAACCCAGTTTGAATATGCTAAAATCTATGGATAAAAATAACTGATTTCTTTTTTCCCTTCCAAAGTTGCAGTCTTCTGGATTTTCATAAAATGAAGTGAATGCCCACACTTTGTTTCAGCCCTTTGAGCAGAAACAAGGCCAAGGATAGATTGCCAAGATTTCAAATGCATTCATTCATGATTTATGACAATCTTCTTCTGGTACCACTTGCAGTAGTATTTGTAATGTCCTGGTTATTTTGCCTACAAAGAAATAATGAAGAAAAATTAAAAATACACAGAAACCAGAAATGCATAAGAAACAGTAAAATGAATTATTTTGGGTTGAATACTGAAAACTCACTCCGTTATTTCATACAGCCCCTTCAAGAATTGTTTACTTCACCAGAGTCTTATCATGCTCAATTAATTTATATGTCACTTCTATAATTTCCCATGATGGCTTCTCAGAAGAATACATTAATATTTTATATTAAAATAAGGACTTTTATGTATGAATCAGGAGGCTGGAAGTATTTGGAGACAATAGGATCGAGATGTAAATAAATGTTCAAAAACACATTTCATATTCAGTTTAAAATTGCTTTGTTGGTTTTTTTGCACCTATGAGATTACAATCAGTTCCTCAGCAAAATCAATAGAAGGATCAAAATAAAATTTCCAGCCTCAAACTTGTAGTGTATTATTGAGCAAAACACCTCATCTCCCAGGACCTCATTTGCCTCATCTGCAGGAATGAGGGATTTGGGAGTGGTGTCGGCGAGGTAAAGGGCTAGAGGTCCCAACCCTCATCAGCGCCTTAAAAAACAAGAACAATTAATAGCTAGAACCTGAAGAAAATAGCTCGGGGAAAGCTCTAGACAACAAAGCAGCAGCAAAAACCCGGCGGAGCTCAAAAATCAAGAATGGCCACATAGTTAAGTAAAGAAAGCATTTTGCCTGCATCACCTCCCCCCCATCCAGAGGTCTGAGGAAGTCCCCAGAGAGGGAGAGAGGAGAAGCCCAGCAAGCCTCTCCACTGTGGACATTTGCAGCTTTTGCTAGAGGGGTCTCCCAACAGTCTTTTCCACGTGCTGACCCTCCTGGCGGAGCAGCCCGGAGTGGCCCCGCCTCTGCATCTGTCCCCGAGTGCTGGAGCAGCTGCTGAGTGAGGCTTGCCCTCAGGTCCTGTGGTTGTTGCTGTGCCCCGCTCTCAGGTACTGGGTGCCACAGCACCTTACCACACATGAGGCCTGAGCTGCCGCTGCTCTTTGCCCAGCTCGGCCCCAGCTCAGGCATTTCCCCACCATTACCATTACCAAGGCAGCCTCCCCTGCTCTGAGCCCAGCCCCCAGGGTCCCAAGTCACACTCTGCTTGCCATTATTAGGGCTGTGTTGCTGCTGCCAAGCCCTCCCGTCCCCCATCCTTGGTCAAGACTCTGAACCCTCATTGTTGAGATGGCAACTTGCTGTCCTGCCCTGCCCCCTGGGGTCCCAGGTCCTGGCTCTGACCCATCATTGCCAGGGGCACCGCCACGACCCTAAGCCCCACTCCCCAGGCAGTTCAAGGCTCAGACCCATCACACCTCCCAACACAGAAAAGCCCAGGAACAGGTGGTTTCACTGGTGAATTCTACCAAACATGAAGAATAACCACCAATACTTTTCACACTATTCAAAGAAATTGAAGAGGCAGGAACACTCCCAAACTCATTTTACAAGGTCAACATTACCCTGATACCAAAGTCAGACAGATACACAGTAAGAAAGGAAAAGTATAGACCAATATTCTTGATGAATACGGATGAAAAATTTCTCAGTAAAATATCAGCAAACCAGATTCAACAACATATTATTCACCATGATCAAGTGGGATTTATCTCAGAAATGCAAGGATGGCTTATCATATACTGGGAGTCCTAGCCAGAGCTATTAGGCAGAAAAAGAAATGGAAGGCATCCATATCAGGAAGGAAGAAGTAAAATTATCTCTGTTAATAGATGACACCATATATATATACATAGAAAACCATAAAGAAGCCACTAAAAAATTATTAGAACTAATGAATGAAATCAGTAAAATTGCAGGATATTGCCTAGCTTGTTTGGGTCGGTGGTTAGAGCATCAGTCCTCAGACTGAACGGTCCGGGGTTCGATTCTGGCCAAGGTCACATACCATGGTTGAGGCCCTGGTTGGGGCGAGTGAGAGAGGCAATCAATTGATGTGAGGCATTGATGTTTCTCTTTCTCTCTCTCTCTCCCCCCCCTTCCACTCTCTCTGAAAAGCAATGGAAAAAATATCCTCGAGTAAGAATTACCAAAAAATTGCAGGATATAAAATCAACATAGAGGAATCAGCGGCATGCCTGAACACTAATAACAACTTATCTAAAAGAGAAACTCAGAAAGTGATCCCATTTACAATAGCATTGAAAACAATAAAATACCTAGGAATAAATTTAACCAAAGGAGATGAAAACTATAAGACACTAATAAAGAGATTAAAGAAGACACAAAAGAATAGGAAGATATCTTATGTTCCAGGATCGGAAGAATTAATATTCTGAAAATGTCCATACGACCCAACATGATCTATAGATTCAGTGCAATCCTGATAAAAAAAATTCCAATGGCATTTCTAACATAAATAGAAAACCTGTCATAAAATTTGTTTGGAACCACAAAAGACTCCAAATAACCAAAGCTATACTGAGAAAAAATAAAAATGGTGGCATCACAATACCTAATTTCAAGCTTTATTGCAAAGCTATAGTAATCAAAATAGTATGGTACTGGCATAAAAATAGACACATAAATTAGTAGAACACAGTAGAGAACTGATACGCAAACCCTCATATATAATTAACTTATTTTTAACAAGGGTACCAGGAACATACATAGGGAAAGGACAGAAAACTGGATATCTACATGCAAAAAAAATTTTTTTAAATGAAACTGGACTTGAAATGAACCAAAGACTTAAATGCAAGATCTGAAACTGCAAAACTTCTAGAAGAAAACACAGGGGAAAAGGTCCTTGACATTGATCTAGGCAATGATTTCTTGGTTAAGTCACAAAAGCACAGGCAACAAAAACTAAAACAACTGTGAAAAGTGTCAGTCAACAGTAGAAAGAGGTGGCTCTGTAGGCAGAGAAGGAGCTAGAGCCATCTGACAGGGACGAACAAGAGGCCATTGGCACCTGCAGTGGTCAAGTGCAAAGCAGAGGGGTTAGCCTGGCATCCTCTCCCTTCCTCCCTCCCTGGAGGAGCCTGCTATAGCTACCTGAACTGAACTAGCTCTGCAACCGCCCGCCGCGTGTGCGCGTGTGTGTGAGAGTCTATTCATGCATTTATCTACTGAGATTTTCCATTTCCCTCGTTTCAATAACTGCCTTTCTTATTCAGAATCTGCTCCTCCATGTCCAAAACAGAAGCCTCTTTCAAACTGTGTTTCTCTATTCTGGGACCACCAGCCCATGTTTGCTCAGACAACTTGCTCACCCAGGTCACAACGCTGCATCGGGTCCAGACAAAGGGAGAGCAAGGTGGAGACCCTGTTGCTTTCCCAGTGTGACATTGTCCTTCCTGAGTGTTCGGGGTGGATCTTTCACGCAGCAGCACATCTGGGGCCACAGACTCTCTTCTGGTTCTGCACACTTAGCCCTTCCCTTCCTCCGTATTCAATCAGTCCTGTGTCTCCTGTGGCTTTCTTAGGTTCTCTCTTGGAATCTCAAGATTTGGATAAGCCTCATCATTCTGGAGGTTTGGGCAGAGTGGCCGATTTTGGCTCTGAGTAGCTGTTGTAACCACACCAACTTTTTCTTCTAGGTTATCTACAGCCATGGGGTCAGATGGGTGCTCAACAGGCCCAAGTAAACCTCTGAGGAAGCTCCCTGCTCACCCAGGGAAGCCCAGGCATGTTGCATTCGACCACATTTATGCTCACACACATCCTTTGGCTTTGCAGATAATTAACCCTATGATACAATTTCTTTAAGTGAAGTTGAGCCAGTGGGTCTGCATTTGGTGTTTTCAGTAACCACAAGCCACAAGACCAAAGAGAGATTGTATTTTCTGCTTTACTTTTCATATTCGGTGGGTGTTCCTGAAACCAGCTGAAACAACAACTGACCTTGCAGAATCCGACTTCCCAACACACCTGGTACAAGCACAGGAACGACAGCCAGAAGCCGTGAGATACTAGCCCAAGGACCACCTCCCCCAGGAGTCGGATAAGAATAATAGCATGTACTTTTTTAAAAAAAGGCCTCAAAACCTTTTCACATGGATGGTCTCATTTTATCCTACAATGAAGACAGTTTGGCCCCTAGGAAATGTGGGCGAGCTTAACCAGCTTCACACGCAGCCCTGCGGTCTGCGTGAGGCGTCTGTCCAGTGCATCAAGCAGCCTTCAGCGAGGAATCATAAATGAAGTCACTGCAACACACTGTAAGCAACCTGTGCTTTCAGAACTCGGGGACCACCTAGTCACCACCATGGAGATGGATACAGTCATTCTGCTGGTGCTGCCCAGTGTGAGTCTCTGTGATCAAAGATTTTGTTTAAATACAGCTGTCCTCCTATCTCACCCTGAGCAAGAGGGGCCAACTCCCAGTGACCCCACTCACTCTCAGCCGTGACGGGGTCTGGCTCATAAACCCAGGCAGCCAAGTAAAGCAGCTGCTGGGGGCCTGGCAGGGTTTGCCAGGTCTAGGTATCAGCAGGTAGCTGCAGAGTATGTCAGTGAGTATCTGCCCCATTTTCCTTGGGTGAGAAGCTTGTGTTTCTATAAATAAATAAATACATAAACAGCCAGGAGAATTAAGCATGCTGTCATGGAGAGCAGGAAAAAGCTTTCTGTGTGTCTAACTAGTCCCTCAAGAGCCCGTCTTTTCACCCTAGGAATGCTGTCAAACAGAAAGTGGTTCAATACTGGCATCCTGTGGCCAGAGAAATTCATCAAATCTCTGCACATCCCCCATCCTCAGGTTCTGAACATTCCCTGGCTGTCTGGACTGAGCAGCCAGCCTCTCGCCGTTTTCTGAGAGCTGTTCGGTTGCCTCGCATTTTTTATGAAAGCGAGATGTGTTCAGATCAACCATCATTTCACAGGGCTTATGGGTTCATGTGTATTAGGGTAAAAAGGAATGATAATACAGAGGCTAAAGAATGTCAGCCAACAAGACAACTGGATATGAAATCACTGAACAAACTGCTCCAAGCAGAGGCTCTCTGGCCTCCAAGTTCACACGGAGTTTGTCTCTAATAAGAAGGTGGTTGTGGGGAGAGGTGATGTTCTGGTTCAGGACTCTGCCGTTTTGGTGTGTGTGTGTGAGTGTTTTGTTTTGGCCAAAGGCTAGGAAAATACTTGCTATTGCAGCAATAAATACTATGATTTTTTTTTACTGCATTACAAGAATGCTGCCTAAGAGGAAAATCAAACAAAATCGAGGAAGGACTTTCAAGGCAGCTATAAAGATAAAGGGTGACAATGATCGCAGTTAAAGGCAGAATTGCCATGCTCCTTGGCGAGACTTAATGGCATTTTTGAGAACCAAGTAATCATTATGGGGCTACTACACTGCTGCTACTTTCACAAATGGCTAACACTAAACTTGGGGTCCTTGGAGATGATCAAAATATCATTAGAGACAGAAAAATAACCCCAAACTTTAAAATTACATGAGCAGGGAAACACATCAAAGAAAGATCAAGCATGAAACTAGCAATAGGCATGAACTGACAAAAAAAAAAAAAGGGACATAGTACACACATGTTAGCAAAAGAAAGAAGTGTTACAGCTGGCTGACTACAAACACAAGGAACAAAATGCCTATAAGTGGGAGCAAACAAGGAATGTGCTCCCTTCTCACTGTGGTCCAACGCTGGGACTGCCTGCTCTTTCGTCCGACATTCTCTTGGTTTTTCCATGGTGCTCAAGGGTTTTAACTGTCTCTGGCCTGGATCTGAGATAGACACAGGTCTCACAGTGATGAGCATTAATTTGTCCTGAACACTGGTAACCAGGAAAGCAGTCTTAATGGTAAATGTTGCTTGACAAGACTTTTTTTTTCCAGAATCGTGCCTACAACTGAGAAAACATAACTAAAAATATTCTGCAGAAAACTAATGTGATCTAACAATAAACAGAGATTAAATACCCTGCTAGGTGATCAGTGTACCTGTGTTAGTCTTAAAGAACCTAACTTTTATAGTAACACTTCTTTGGGGAATAGTGTTGCCAGGTAGAAAACAAATTTCAGTATAAATAGTATATATTCAGTCTAAAGATATCAAATACCAATTAAGAGCTAATAAAGAGGAATAGTAGCAAAACTCTATGTTAAACCACTGGTTTCTAAATGAGTTCGCTTAGCACACTAGAGATTCAATGCATACAACAAATTGTTATTTTATTTTTAGTAACACTCACATTATTTATTAACAATTTGACCAGAAATCTCTCTGAATTTTTTAAACTTTTAAAAACTAACTATGGTAAAGTAAATAAATGAAAACAAATGGGAACAAATTGCTTTCTAAACTCACCAGCAAGAGCCGATCTGCTTCCCTGGCTGTGTTTCTGACCCCTCTCTCTTGTCCCTCAGCCAACCAATCTAGAAAAATCATGGACCCTGCAGTCCAGCAGATGTGGATTCTAATCCTAGCTCAATGGTTTAAATTCTGCACATTCAAAAATAAAATCTCCTCTCCCTGAGCCCTGGGTTCCCCATCTGGGCATGGGAATTACCAGCACCTCACACCCACATCTTGTGGAGATTTGAAAGAGATGATGACTTGGGGAAAGGGGCTCACTCAGCAGAGCCCAGGACAAAGGGCCGGGCTTTCAACAGGGCTCTTGCTCCTAAGTACACTTCCTACTACAGATCTACTCTTTTCTCCTCCCACAGCTTACCTGGTCACCAAGCTCTGTGGGTGTTGCCTCTCTCGTATCTTTCCTTTCTCTTGGACCCTGCTGACATGGCCTGTGCCCAGACCCTCCTCAGTTCTCGTCAGGATTACTGCCGTCACCTACCACCCCTATTCTTGGTCTTCAGCTTCGACCTCCTGTCATCCAGCCTCCAGGATGATTTTTCCAAAATACAAAACTGCCTGCATCTGAATTCTAGCTCCTCTACCTAACATCTCTATGACTTGTACCAAGTCGTGTGAATTCTCCCATGCTGTAACCCAAAGTCTACAAAATAGGAATAATAATTTTCCTACTTCAGAAGGTTTTTAAAGATGAGATAAGGTCATGTATGTGCTAATCCACAGAATCACGCAATAAATGAGAGCTGTTATACCTCTGTTCCTTGTTCCTGCTGGTCTTGTGACCCTTGAGTGACTTACCATACCTATTAAATAGGGTGGAGCTATAATCATGATATTGAAGACCTCTGCAGGCCTCTGCCTAACTCCCCACCAAATCTTGTATCCCTCATCAAGTAGTCTAGTATGATATAGAATCACTAAACTGGATTCAGCCCAGAATAAAAAGAATCAGGTTAGTGAATCAGGATTCAGAAGAGACGTGAGGCCATTTTCAGAACTGCTGATAAAATTCTACCTAAGAAAGCTCTTCTCCTAAGAAGTGACCTAAGCAACCCAACTACACACTGCCCTGAAAGGAGCCAGTGGCTGCTCCCCAAACATCCTTCCACTTTTCCTTCTTCCAGTTCTAATTAAAATGCAACAACAAACTAGCAGTTGTCCTACTTACATATTTGACCTTTAAGGAGTGTATGCTATGCGTGTACACACAGATGAATTTCCTACAACATGGTCTGTAAAAAGGTTGAAAGACTTACCTGACATTCTCCTGAACCACTTGGGTTTCTTGTCCCATATAATAAAGAGATAGTATGCGGGGACCCCGGTCAGCGTGATGACGAAGCCAATCCCCGTACTGAATGGGTCCGAATACAGGGAGAGGGCGACCATGAAGAAGCAGGTGAAGGAGAACAGAGCCGGGATGAACAGCGGCACCTGGAACACAGCACAGGGAAAATCACCTCCGACCAGGCACCGGGCGGCCAGTCGGCCAAGGAGGGGATGTCAGTCACGACACTGGGTGGTACTGTGTCACATCACCAGGTGACAGGCGCCATCCTACCTTACCTTAGTAGCAAAGTCTCTCTAAAGGGGCACCAGGAATATAGGAAACACTCCCTTAATTAAAAAAAAAGAATCTTTGGATAGAATAAAATCTAAGGAAAAGAAGTGTGTTTCATCAGAGAAGCTCTGTTTGAATTATTTTACTCAAGTACCACTATAATTTCTCTTTTTGATAGTAAAAGATGGGATCTTTGATAATTATGATTAGAATCCACTAAGCCAAGACCATGGGCTGCTGTTACATGTTCAATCCTTTGGGGGCGTATTGATTTTCTGTTGGAGATTCACAGTAAGAAACAACGGGAACAAAACAAGCCAACTCCTATTCAACTGCTAATGAAGATGTTGCCAGGATTAGGCAATGAATATAATTAGAAACAAATTCTGACAACATAACTGACGATGCGATCTGTTATTTCTTTGGAGCAAATGAACAGTGAGGTTGAAACAATCTATGAACATTCGAGGCTGAAGGAGACGAGAAGCATATTCTTCAACCCTCCCAAAAGGAAACGCTTCAGTTATGGCAGCTGTGCTTTCTCTTGAGTGGTAAGTTCATACATCTCTGCTTTCCCTTTATATTTTACATTTTTATTCCTTCTAGAATGCATAATGTTGAAAAAGAGCAATGCATTAAGTCATAACCTTTAAAAACACTGGAAATGCCTATTTTGTAAAGCAGCATCCTTTTTAGATGTTTTAATGAGTGACACAATTCCACACTTATCTGTGTCACTCTTTGTCATGTTCAGCATAAAGACAGACCAAAATACCCCATACTCTGAATTTATCAGGTCATCGGACACGTCATGAATAATCAGCATGACAAACACCCTCTATTAACACCACCTCTTTTCAAAAGTATGACATATGGAGTTCAGTACATCACATAAAGAAATGTGATGAGCTATTTTCCAAGCTAAAACCAATCCAATCTGAAGGCACTACCTGCAAGAGTTAAACACTTTATGGCAGAGGATGGTGTCCCCGCCCAAGCTCCCCATCGTCAAGTTATGACAAAGGGAGGACTGGGTATTAGGAGGAAGATTTATGTAAACCCATCAAGATTGCTGAGGTTACCTTGAAAGGACGATGCATGTCTGGGCGTTTGTATCGGAGATAAATCAGCCCAGCAACCGCTAGCCCAATAAAAAGCCACCTGGCGAAACTGAGGAAATTCAAAAGACTGTAGAGGTCCCCAGAGAAGAGCATCACCATCGTCAGAGGGTACTGGGGGGGGAGGCAAAAAGAACACTCGGTGAGTTACAGAGAACACGGGAGATAACAATAACATCACTAGACATGATCACTGTCTCTTTTCAAATGATTACTTATACTGATAAACTACCATTATGATTAAAACTTAACCTCCTTTCTATATCCTGCTCTTAAAATCCCTTTACACACCAGTCACAGAATGAGAGGGCCACCGACACTCCCAATTATTCAGGAGGAATTTTATATGGATGTTTGGTGTTTAGTTGCATTGGACAGAAGGGACTGTATTTTCAAAGTCATACTCAGTGGCTCAAAATGTAAAGACCCAGAGACTGAGATGATTAATAAATAACTAATAATAAACATAAAAAGTGTACCCCACTGGAAAGTCTGCAGAAAGCTCTGCCAATGGGGTCTGATGAGCTCTTGGCTATGCACACATGAAACACAGCCACTTCTCCGTGCCTCTGTCAGCCCCTGAATGCAAAATGTTGACCTTCCCTTCCTCCGCTCTCCCTCTCCCCGCGTGCCCGCCGTGGGTGACCCTCAAGGCTGCCCAAAGGAACGCAGCGCAGAGACCAGCACAGCGAGTCCCTGCCACTGCTCATGCCAAGGACAGCAGGGCTGATAGCAGAGGCTTAAAATGAAGCCCTCTCCACGGAATAATATGTTCTGTTCCCACAAGTGACTATTACCTTCCAGATTCCTCGCAGAGTGCTGTGTACTTTACAAAGAAATTTCAAGGAAACATTTTGAAACAAATTAAATGCATGAAAAAAACAAAAAGGTTCCATGAATTCTCACAGCAGATTCCATTTGAGAAAAATGTGACAAAATGGTAGGCTAAGGGGACAATAACATTGTCGGTGGGTGTCTGAGGACTTTTACACCTCACACAGTCTTTTGTATCCTGCATTTCACAGGTACTCTTCTCTGCATAAAGAATCCTACAGCTCAAATTTAAGTTTTGGTGCTTTTATTTCTTCCCACTCGTCTAGGGTTGCTCTCAAATATCTCACTTTTAATCACAGAATCACTGCACTGTCTAGAATTTCATTGTTGCTTTTTCTATAATTTTGTGTGCAATTTCATTATAAGGGGCCTGTGATGAGACCCCTGGGCCATTTTGGACTGTAGCTTTTAGCTCCACTCTCGGTACTTAGAATTGGGACTTACTACTCTGCCTCCTTTACTGTGAGGTCCTAGGTCAGAGACAGGAGCCAAGCTAATCATTTCCCTTAGACCTCACAAATTTCTACAAAGATGGAAAAAAAAGTGACGTGGTTACTGCCCCATAGCATCAATTATGCATCAGAAATACTGCAGCAAGGGAAGTTTGGGAGGCAGGATGTGGAGAACCTCCTGCCTCCCAAACTCTGCCAAGATATACACAGAGCCGATTTTGCAATGAAGGAGAAAGTAAAGCACTCTCTGAAGTCTGGTGTGAAATCCGCTTTGCTAACCTGTTACTCGCGGTTACGTCTAGAGATACTTGTTAATATGCATTACCAAAACAATAACAGCTGGCAGAGGAGTGTGCTTGCGGACATGAATCATGGAGAGGATTTCTGGAAGGTGACCCTCTCGAGACGCAACATAGAATAACCTGATGGGAGAAAAACGGGGGTGGAGTTGACTGTGGAATTGATCATTGCAGAGGGAAAATCCCAGAAACCTATGAGAAAACGTGCATCTTTTTCATCCCAAGTGGTTTGACATTTCTCAGGTGATTGTTTAGATTTCACTTTTCAGATAAGCTAGAGAACATCATGAGAAATCTGACTCAGAATTTTATAAAATCTGCCAGCATATGATGTTCTTCTTTGAGAAGAAACAGTAGCAACACCTGACTCAGCATAGCTCTCCCTACATGTGAATAGCTGAAGCTGAATTTAGCTCTAGGTTCCCAGTACTGTATGTGTGCTGTCCATCCAATCAAACCAACACACACACACACACACACACACACACACACGCGCGCGCGCACACACACACACACACACCCCCCCCACATGCACGCGTATACACACACTGTAAATATGAATAAAGGAAACCTCATATAAAATAGAGCTGGGAAGGCCTGAAGCGAGGGCTCAACAGAAGAAGCCTTCTTCACTACCCCAGCAGGAGAAAAGACAATTTCTCCTTGCCCAGCAGTGACCCAGCTGGTGAGAAGCCACAGTAGCCCTGAACTCTCACTCTCTTCCAATGGCCTTTCCATCAAAACCGCCCCTCCCGACGATCTCCTTTCCTCTATAAAAGCAAGGCCCTCTCCTTTGTTCTCAGGACGCGCCTACGGTTTTGCCATAGTTTGCACGTTCTGAATTGCGATTCCTCTGCTACTCCCGAAGAAACTCATTTTTCCGGTAAACAACTGGCTATTTTGTTTTTAAGGATGACAACACATCTAACATTCATATTTATCTGATTGCGTTTTAATCTTATATTAAAGCAAAAGGTACTTTTGCATCAAAGAAAGCAATAGGGATACAGATAGGGTGAGGCGGCGATTTCTGGTGTCTCTTATTTTACTTTTTTTCTTGTCACCTTTGGAGAAACAACAGATTTTATCACCAGAAATAAAATGCTGTTGTTAGACTCTGTAGACATACTATAAAAAAATGCCACATGCCCAGCTCCAGGCTCTGCTATGAGTAGAGGAGCAGTGCCCTCTAATGGACAGAGTGAGACATGCTCTTGAGACTTGGACAAAGGCTTCAATCCTGCGTGTGCCTTTAAATACGACGGATTTGGAGGCACTATTTCTTTGTAAAATTATCCTGATCACATCCAATCTCAAAAACAGAGAATACATTTCGGAAAATGCTTGAACTCACTCACCTGGAGACAGCAAATACACCACCATTCATGGAGCCAAAGCAGGTGAGGGCCACAAAGATGGGAACCGCTAATGAGAAATTTCCCAGGAGCCTCTCAGCGAAGGTCTAGCGAAAGACAGAATGATGCAAATTAATGCTTTGCCAGAAAGTGGAATAAAATGAAGCAATTTATGCCAGACTCGCTCTATGACTTTCTATTAGCCCCGTGACACGTGTATGGTTCCTAAGCCTTCTCTTTGGTTAGGGTCAGACTAACTCTGCGGACAATAATCAGAATTACATACCGTGGCATTGCTTGTAGCTAAAAGGTGGGCAAAGGTCTAAAGAAGCACCTGGGCTCTACTTTCAAAAGGCAATGATCCATTTACCGAGTCTTTATCAACTATGGCCAAAATCTTGTATCATTCCGTAAATGGAAAAAAAAGCTCCTTTAGAAGAATTTCTGCTTTTGCAGACAGAAATCCTTTTGCACAATCTTCTCTTTAGCCTAGAAAGCCACATTTTGATCGTGAAGCACAAAATCTACACTGAGTAGCATGACAGCTACCGTTATGACATAAAAGCATGGCAAGAAAAAACACACTGGTGACTTAATCATTGATATCATATCTACGAGATGTTCTGAAAAATCTTTTGCCCAGAATAATCACAAGAGCTGAATCTCTGTTTATCGAATCAGTCCCTCCATCTCAATTATCTGGCAATTCCTTCTGTGGTTTCCTATAAAAAGCTAGACTACAAATACAAGTCCAAGGATATCAGGCCACAGAAAATACAAAAGTGCGGCAGGATAAACAAAGCTTCCGAAATTTCCTTTTATGCATGGCATAAAGGATGTATTTTCCAAAATAAAAAAAAAGATGTGGGATTCTTTATTTGTCCTTGATGCAGCTGGGGCTGTGTAATTATTGTACCACACAGCACTCAAGGAGTAAGTGCTGCCCTTTGGCCAGTAACATGAGCTGACTGACCCGACATCAGTAAGCTTTGTACATCTGGGCATCTGCTAGAACTTACAGCACTGGCCGAAGTCTTTTTCTCTTACAGTGAACTCGTATGTAGGTTCACGTGAAATGAGATCATTTGTTCACCGTGGATGCCGCTGATATGAGGTAATAGTGACTATTTTTAAAGGAACTGACAGCTAATGATTGGAAGTTATTTTTTTCCCCTTCATTTTTATAAGGTCATGAATGAAGGCTCTCTTACTACCTGTTTTTATACAAAATAAAAGTATGTGTCAGAGAATAACAGTCTCACAGCATGATCTTTGGGAGCAAAGTTGGTCCTGAAGTCTCAAAAATTTAGAAAATGTAAAATTATGAGTATCCACTTCTTAGAGAGCATCTTTAATATTCTGAGTACTATAGCAAAGATATCAGTTTAACTTTAAATAACTCAGTATTCCCCCAAATTAATAATATCCCATGACTAGTATTCAAAAGGATATACTAAACATATATATATATCGAGAGAGAGAGAGAGAGAGAGAGAGTCAACTTGGAAATTCTTAAAGTGGTACTTTGGGGAAAATATCTGAAAAATTAGCATTTCACAAGTTTACAAACAAGAAAGAGTGCACAATAAATTACAATTTGCATACCCCAAAACTGCATTCTTTTAAATCCAGTAACTGCCCACCTGTCCTTAAAGACATGTTGGAAGGATAACGCCTTCTATTCGATGTGTACATGTGGAAATGTGTTTTCAAACATGTACATGCGGAAACATTTTACATGAAATTAATGCTACAGAGAAATCATATGGGATTTTAGCTGTATCAGTTAAATGGAATATGCTAAGGTATGTTCTAAATTTTTTAAAATACTGATTATCATTCGGGTCAAGAAAAGATTACTGAATTTCAAAACCCTTTTCTCTCGGAAGAAACTACTATAAAATTGCATCAACTCATTAACCTAAATTCAAATTGGCATTTCCCCAACTTGGACTTACCACTGCCACTGCGTTTGAAAGCAAGAGCTCTTCAGCGCTAATGGTCGTAAAGTAGGCCACATTCGTTAGCACATAGCCCACGGTGACGATGGCCATGGATATACATATGGCAAGGGGGATGTTTCTGAAATGCACGAAGGAATCGCTCATTAGTCATCTTGTGTTAGGCATCTACTGAAACCAAAGAAGATAGGCTAATTCAAACAAAAAAATTAAATGGTGCTTATGATAATTACAGGCTCTGTTGGGTATGCATGAACATTTCACTGGGGTGAGGTACCACGCATTCCTTTGCAATGTAATAAGGTCCAGGGGCAGATACTGCAGATACTTCAGTTGTCTTGTCTCCTGCTCTACCCCAGACGAGATGGGTCTGTCCCATCGCCGTACCCCATAAACGCTACAGCAATGCTTCTCAAACTGGAGCATGCACCCCCTGGAAGGCTTGTTGAAACAGACTGCTGAGCTCAGCGCAGTTTCTGATTCAGTAGGCTTTGCATTTCTCACAAGTTCCTGGGTGATTCTGATGCTGCTGGCCAGGGGGCCACACTTTGAGAACCACTGTCCTCTATATCTTTCTAATATTAACTCACTGCCTTGACACTTCTCTGATAGCAGTCCCCCCAAAGGTCTTTCACATTCAGGGGATTTTCCCCTTCAGTAGCTTCACTTACCAGCAAAGAATACTTCCAAAGTACTTTTGGAAGCGTGAGAGTAGGATATAACTACCTTTCTAAATGATGGGAATAATATTTTTGTATATCACACGAAAAGCACAGAAGGGCTCACAATAATGACTTTGCATGGTCCTGCAGCGAGTTCAAAGGAAGCTTAAGATCATGAATGTCTATTAAAGCAACAGCGCAGATAAAGCCATGAAATTCAAGGTGACATGCTGTGAAGTACATATGACCGGACAGTGCTGACACCATGCGGCATCAAGAAATACCAAGCACCAGTGCGATGTTATGTCTTCATTTAGTGCACTGGGGAAGCCAGGAAGTTACTGACCCTAATAATTTGATTCCATGTTACCGATGCACATTACTTGCTTAACATAATCACCTCTTCAGACTCTTTCCAGTTCAAGCAACTTAAACCTTCAGCTCCCTGCCTAAAGCCTGATGGGTTTTCTTAGCCATAGAGCTTATCAACCCTCATGGAGACTTAACCCTGCCAGTGCCACTCATGAAGACCTCAATAATTTCTTCCCAGTTGAAACTACAGTTCAGAACCGGGGACAAAGGGAGAGGGCGGGAGGCCCAGCCTGCCTCCCTCCCCAAGCTGGGCGTGTTTCAGTGCGCGAAGTCCCAGCTCATTACGCTGCACAGTGCTGTGGGGAACTGGCAAACCTGGCCAGCCAGCCCCTGCCATTCATTATGCTGCTTGGAGCCTGACGCTCCCCTGATCCCCAAAGCCTTAAGCCTTGATGAAGAAACACATTGACCTCTCAATCCTGGCATCCTGGTAGGAAAGGAGCAGATGTTCCCTTTCCCCAGTGTGGAGAGGGTCCTGGGGAATTTTCTCTTAGCACCGTAATATGCCTTGCTAGTTGTGATCGATAGATGCTAAATTTAAGCAAAGGAAATCACCCGGCCAATTAAATACAAAAGAGTGAATGGCACAAGGCAAATTAAAGAAGAATTCTGTTTCTTTGAAAGAAGGGTTACATGGAAATGCAAGGGGGGATGAAGGCGAACGTGAAGGTCTATAGGCAGCCTGTCAGTCACTCACTGTATTACTGTAAACTCCAATCCTTTCAGCTTTATAATATCGCCAAATGGGATGTTAAGTCCATTCCATGGAGGAGAGAAACAGGGAGAGGGGGAGAGAGAGACTCTCTATTCCTTGCAAAAATAGCATGAAGAAATGAAATCAAGAAATGAAAAGGCTCTGGTCATAAAAATTGAGGTAACTTATGGTTAAATGCAGTGATGTAGCCTAACCCGCCCAGGACGGGTAGTCCTGTCTCATCAAATGAGCCTGTAAAACAGTCGAGAGAAGTCAGTCTTGAACTTGGGCTGTGGGCTCCCAGCATGGAAGCCAGAATACCAGCCTCCCCCTGTTTCCTGCCTGGAGATTATGGTCCTTCTGAGGAGAGTTTTCTAAATTGATTTTAGCAAAAGGGGTCCTTAAAAAATAAAAAACCTAACCTTTCAGGTTTTTCCTTTTTTTCTCAGCTTGTCAATAACAAAAACAACACTAGCAGCTGCTGCCATTTATGTGGTGTCTGTTATGCGCCCAACATTTTATTGGGTACTTTACATATTTGCCTCATTTTATCCTTGGGAAATCCTGCAGGTTGGAAACATCATCACCATTTTATCTATGAGGAAATGAGGTCTTAGAGAATTTAAATAAGCGTTCAAGGAGACACAGCTGGTAAGTGGAAACGCGGAATTCAGCTGCAGATCTCGCCTACCTTGAAGTCCATGCATTTTAACCACCAACGTGTACTCTCCAACTCCCGCATGCGGGTCTTCGCATGCTATCACTTTCCGAGAAATCGTAATTGCTGACTATAATGTTTGCTGGAGAGCTCTTATCAAGGCTGTGTTTCTCATGCAGTCACTGAAAAATGCAGCTTCATCTACTATAAAGGAGGGGGAAATCCTTATTCCATGATTTTTATAGTTTTTCTGTGTAACATGAACTGTAATGTATAGTTTCACTATTTAGAAAGTAGATTTTCTTTCTTTTTTTCTATTTAAAAGACAACAGAGGCTAATTTAATTAATTTCCCTAGAAGACTTTTGTAAAAAAGGAGGAAAAGTAAGCATGTTTATCAGATAAACCAAACTAGATTAACAATTTTACTATCTAGTTATTAGAGGGGAAAAATCAAAGGAGCTTAAAATATAGGACAAGAGAAAGGGTCTAATGGAGCTGCAGTTCCTAACATGCCTAGTAAGTCCTCTCTAGTTAAATTAAGCCCCCGAAGTTGGAGGGGTTGGGGCAAAATAGCCCCTCTCTTCTGTCCTGAGGTTCTATTTCACCTGGACAAAGGGAGGGGGGAGAGGGGATCGTGGCTGCCTTGAGATAAACAGCAATCAGTTACAAGGGAAAGGGAATTGGTTGACTTGTTCCGAAGGGCTTGGCACCAGTGGTTAACTCCTGGGTTTCAAGCGTCAAAGCTTAAGAGCTGCTGGGTGAGCTGATAAAAGCTATTAGGCCATGCCACAGCATCTTTCCGGAGACTTTAGATGCAGAGGGCAGATAAGCATGGTTGTAACTCAAGATTAAAGCAAATGGCACACGATAATAAAAGGAATTAAAGGAACTGCTAGTCCACTGATATTTCACAGCTTCTTTGTGACTGGGAGGCAGCCACTAATTCTAAGGGCAGTAAAACCATTGTCTTTAAGCTGAATAAAAATGACTCACACCTATGAGGTCTCCTCTTTCTCTAGTATTTGTGAATGTTTGTTAAGATTAACACAATACAAATGTATTGAAAAGAGTTGCTTAATCCCTAAGAGCTTTTTGTCGTTATAGTCCTTTCAAGTAACAGGCATTAAGTATGTGAGAATCATATTTTTCATTAGTCACAAATGGTCTTCAATCGAAAGGTCTTGAGTAGTCTTCTTATTGGTTTATCTTAAATTGGTGCCTATAACCAGTCTATGTCAAGAGATATCTATGGATAAATACTTGTTTCATTCAAAATTATTACATGAAAGTCTGGAACAATTGCTTTGAAGCACTTTCATTCTAAAAGATAGACCTCTCCAGGAATCCAAATGGTACCAGCAGTAATGGCTCATAGTTTACATTTGTATAGCCTTCAAAGCACTCGCAAATATATTCAAACATACACATCAATTCAAATCCTTTCTGGAATGAGCTAGAGTATGAACAATTAATAAAAAAAATTCTCAACAAACCATTGAAATAGGAGGTAATACCCCCATTTTCAAACAAGGGAACCAAGACTCAGAGGGGCTAGGTGACATGGTCAAAGTCACAAAAGCAGTCAATGGAAGGGCTGGAACGTGAACCCAGGTCTTCCAGCTCCAAGCTCCAAATCCATGATATATCTGATCATATCATGGCTGCGTCGTGCCTACTTTAACTCTATGTACAAGGTCCCTAGGACTCTTACATGCTGACAAACGAATTATATTTTATATAAATGACACAAATATCAGATTGTTACAATGTGACACATTTTAAATCCAGACTATTTTTTGACAGCAAATAGTCGTCACAAATACATACGCATGCAGCATGGGTTGCACTTTTTAATATGCTTTGCAGCTATAATAGATCATCAGAAATAATCATTGTTCCCAGGACTTCATGTTGGCTAAAAAGACTCTCGCTATGACAACAGTGAGTCAACCGAGCTTGATTCTCCAGAGAGTTGGGCACGCCTGAAAGTTACAGGGATATCTGATATGCAGACCACACGAGTAATCCCATCATCATTTGAATTTAGGATATTACTAAAACTGTTTTATGACTTGAACAAAACCCTCTGAGATTTGTGTGAACCAAAATAAGTTCCACACAATCCCCTGTGTTGAATACACACAATGGGGACCATAGAGCTCACTGATCCCGGGGCATCTGAAACTGTCTTTGAGCCATGGGGCTGGGCATGATGACAGTTCTAATAAAACCTACTCTTGGGTATTTGTGTGTTCTGGAATATTTTAAGGCAAGTAGTTGATGCTTCACATTTTCTATTTAAAAATCATTAATATTTTAACACATGTCTTTGGCATTCAGGAAAAAAGGAGGGAGGAATAAAAGGAAGGATTCAGAAGGGCAAGAAAATGGCAAACTTCTTAATATGTGAGATACAAAATAACGGAAAACAGGGTTTTTCAAAGTATTTTCCCATTCTGTTAGTAAACTAGGGACTATTTGGTTATATAATTAAAATGTAACTGTGATTCGTCTCAACATAAAGTATTTAAAATTACATTAAGCATCTTTTAATTCCAAGTGTTCATTTTAGAACCATACTTACTTCACATTTTCTTTGTAATGACCCAAAAGAGACCTTGAATGCTTTTCTTTAGATCTGACCCAGAAATTACTCAAGAACCTCTCTTTTTGGTTTACAACTATTTTTTGCAGAATTACTTTTGATTTTATTACCACTGCTGTCAATTTTAT